AAACTGATTTTCTATTATACTTAGATTATGGTATACACATTCAGAAGATGATGCATACTTATAACTTCACAAAAAGTTCAGTATCTTATTTCAAGGGCCATCCTATTCACACAGAAAACCTTTATAAAAACATGGCATCAAAATGAATGATTCTTCATGTGCTAAAAACTGGGCTTAAATTAAGCATTTTCTTAGAGAACACAGATCATGCTATTTTGAATCAAAACATTAATGCTATACACCCAATAAAACTCAAAAACAACACAGCAATTATTTCAGCTACAATACAAGCAGACAGACATCTCTGCTCCACAGTGAGATAGCAGACATGAGGAAAATACTTGCTTCTTAAATAATATGGAGCAACATGAATGGATGGCAGAATCAGACTACTTTTGCCCTAAGAAGTAGTTTTTTAAACTACATTAGTAAAGAACTACTGTAATAGTTTGATTGGTCTATATGTTTGTGCAAATGCAATAAAAAAAATGTATGGGTTGAAAGAATCTCTATGTTCCCTGTATTAGATCATAGCGATAATAGAAATAGAGATCTTGTGCAAATGTAATAAAACCAATGTATGTATTAGAACAATCTACATTAATGACTCGACAGAACAAATCAATGAAGCTTGACCTCTAACCACTATTTAACCACTAACTATTGTGCAAACAAACCCATAACAGATTAAATCAATAATTCAAGCATCAAAGATCAGTGACCTATGACTATTATGTAAATAAAAAGTCACACATACCTATTAGGAATTGGAAACTGCAATCCTAGAGCAGGAAAATGTCATTGGTATTCAGCCGACTTTATGTGTGACTTGGACACTGAAGCTTCTGTGCAGTCATACGCTATAGGTAGTCTTACTTTGTATGTATAACAGTATAACACTGCAGAGTTTAAAAAATGACAAGTTAGAAAGAGTGTAATGTTGGTTTGTCTATGAAATACATAATCAATAGGATGTAAATGTAAGATTTTGCAAACCTAAAGGACAAAAATTAGAAGGGAAACACTCTTAACTTCTAAACTGAATCAGACTTACCTAACATAACATCTAACCTGAATTGGACTTACTTAAAAATGAAGGCATCTAGGTTTAGGTTAAGGATGGTTACAACCAGAGTAATGACTGCAATGATAGACATTCGAAGTAACCTACGACTATTCAATAAAGGCAAAAGTCTTGAATATTTAGCCAAAGTAAATGATAATTAGGTGGCAAAGTAACAAACTAAATGTAAACAAAAGTATTTGCCTCAAATACTAATCATGAGTAATGGTACTACAACTATATGCACACCTAGGAGGCAAAATACAAACTGCATATATACAATAACATTACGAACTAAGACACAGTTGCCAAATACATCAAAGTGATCAAACCAACTATATATATGTACACCAAAATACTCTAACTTCACCAATAAGTCTTAAAATACCACAGTACAACTTTATATATCAACAACAGAATGAAAAGGAACACAACGTCAAGAATCAGTTATATAAAGAAAATATTATAAATTTATGGAAAATCAAAGAATCAGTTAGTAACAGATAACAACTAGAATCAACTAATAACCAACTGGGCAAGAATCGTTAACCTGTATTCATACTCCATTTATACTCCGCATCTATTCTAAACCTTCAACCCCCCCCCCCCCCCCCATCTGAAATGGAGAATTTCTGGGCGAATCTCAACCCGCACGACCCATTTCCAGGGATTGAACACCTGTTCCCACCACATCCCGACCTTCCACCAGAGCCCGCCAGCACGATGACGACCTTCCACCGCCACATCCCGACCCGGACGACGACCCCCATTGAGGTTTGATGATGACGACCTTCCACCGCCCCAGCACGAGACGACCTTCCACCAGAGCCCGCACGATGACGACCTTCACCGCCACATCCGACCGGACGACCATGGGTTGATGACGACGACCTTCCCACCCCAGAGGCCCCCCAGCACCCGATGACGACCTTCCCACCGGCCCACATCCCGACCCGGACGACCCCATAGTTGATGATGACGACCTTCCACCAGAGCCCCAGCACGATGGACGACCTTCCACCGCCACATCCCGACCCGGACGACGACCCATTGGGTTTGATGACGACGACCTTCCACCAGAGCCCCAGCACGATGACGACCTTCCACCGCCACATCCCGACCCGGACGACCCCATAGGGTTTGATGATGACGACCTTCCACCAGAGCCCCAGCACGATGACGACCTCACCAGAGCCCCAGCACGATGACGACCTCCCACCGCCACATCCCCGACCCCGGACGACCCCAGGGGAGGGCGGACCACAGGAGACGACCTTCCCGACATGACCGGACGACATTTGATGATGACGACCTTCCACCAGAGCCCCAGCACGATGACGACGACCTTCCACCAGAGCCCCAGCACGATGACGACCTTCCACCGCCACATCCCGACCCGGACGACGACCCCATTGAGTTTGATGATGACGACCTTCCACCAGAGCCCCAGCACGATGACGACGACCTTCCACCAGAGCCCCAGCACGATGACGACCTTCCACCGCCACATCCCGACCCGGACGACCCCATTGGGTTGATGACGACGACCTTCCACCAGAGCCCCAGCACGATGACGACCTTCCACCGCCACATCCCGACCCGGACGACCCCATAGGGTTTGATGATGACGACGACCTTCCACCAGAGCCCCAGCACGATGACGACGACCTTCCACCAGAGCCCCAGCACGATGACGACCTTCCACCGCCACATCCCGACCCGGACGACGACCCCATTGGAGTTTGATGATGACGACCTTCCACCAGAGCCCCCCAGCACGATGACGACGACCTTCCACCAGAGCCCCAGCACGATGACGACCTTCCACCGCCACATCCCGACCCGGACGACCCCATTGGGTTTGATGACGACGACCTTCCACCAGAGCCCCAGCACGATGACGACCTTCCACCGCCACATCCCGACCCGGACGACCCCATAGGGTTTGATGATGACGACCTTCCACCAGAGCCCCAGCACGATGACGACGACCTTCCACCAGAGCCCCAGCACGATGACGACCTTCCACCGCCACATCCCGACCCGGACGACCCCATTGGGTTTGATGACGACGACCTTCCACCAGAGCCCCCCAGCACGATGACGACCTTCCACCGCCACATCCCGACCCGGACGACCCCATTGGGTTTGATGACGACGACCTTCCACCAGAGCCCCAGCACGATGACGACCTTCCACCGCCACATCCCGACCCGGACGACCCCATAGGGTTTGATGATGACGACCTTCCACCAGAGCCCCAGCACGATGACGACGACCTTCCACCAGAGCCCCAGCACGATGACGACCTTCCACCGCCACATCCCGACCCGGACGACGACCCCATTGAGTTTGATGATGACGACCTTCCACCAGAGCCCCAGCACGATGACGACGACCTTCCACCAGAGCCCCAGCACGATGACGACCTTCCACCGCCACATCCCGACCCGGACGACCCCATTGGGTTTGATGACGACGACCTTCCACCAGAGCCCCAGCACGATGACGAGACCTTCCACCAGAGCCCCAGCACGATGACGACCTTCCACCGCCACATCCCGACCCGGACGACGACCCCATTGAGGTTTGATGATGACGACCTTCCACCGAGAGCCCCAGCACCGGATGACGACGACCTTCCACCAGAGCCCCAGCACGATGACGACCTTCCACCGCCACATCCCGACCCGGACGACCCCATTGGGTTTGATGATGACGACCTTCCACCAGAGCCCCCCAGCACGATGACGACGACCTTCCACCAGAGCCCCAGCACGATGACGACCTTCCACCGCCACATCCCGACTCGGACGACCCCATTGGGTTTGATGACGACGACCTTCCACCAGAGCCCCAGCACGATGACGGCCTTCCACCGCCACATCCCGACCCGGACGACCCAATAGGGTTTGATGATGACGACCTTCCACCAGAGCCACAGCACGATGACGACCTTCCACCGTTTTCGCCAGAGCCCCAGCACGGCGGCCAGTTTCCGTTCGAAAATTTTGCCGAAGGGGCTAATGTGTTTGGGGCAAATGGGAATGTCCCGAACGGGAATGGGCCTAATGGACCCCTGCACGGCGGCCAGTTTCCGTTCGAAAATTTTGCCGAAGGGGCTAATGTGTTTGGGCCAAATGGGAATGTCCCGAATGGGAATGGGCCTAATGGACCCCTGCATCCGAACTTTGCGTTTCCTCAGCGTTTAATACAAATTGAACACGTGGGGGAAGTAGTCCGTTTTCCGCTTGAAGTCGTTACTTTGGTCAGTTTAAGGGAAGCGGTTATAGAGAGGTGGGCTCCACTGGCTTTTGCGTACTTAAAATTTTATTACGAAGATAACGGTCAGATAGTCAGGATTGGCAGCAATTTTGATTTGCAGTACTGGATAAGAATCTCGGGCCAACCTATCGTACCTATACTAATGACTTTGACGTATTAAAGTTTTTGTTTGTTTGTTTTTGGGTAATAAGAGGGGCTGCACTCTGTAGTATCATTTTCCTTATTACTCGTCATAGAACTTTGAATATCCAAGGGTATACTTAGTAAAATCATTCTTGACGTTGTGTTCCTTTTCATTCTGTTGTTGATATATAAAGGGAATCATTCTTGACGTTGTGTTCCTTTTCATTCTGTTGTTGATATATAAAGGGAATCATTCTTAACGTTGTGTTTTTTTAATTCATTCTGTTGTTGATATATAAAGAAAATATTCTTGACGTTGTGTTCCTTTAATTCATTATGTGTTCCCAAAGATCCCAAAAGTACATTTACACAAGAAAATGTTGTTACTCTCACTATTCCCTCTTGATATCTAAAAATTATTTGACTAAAATTTAATTCCCACCAAAATATTATTTTTGAGCGCCAATTACTTATCCCAATTTCAAGTAGTGAGTACCCTAGAGTTTATCCTCAAGTCTGATTCGCCTTCTCCGCCCAAAATGTTCGGAGCTCAGCCTCCTCCTCCGCCTTCGCCACTCCCTCATCCACCCCACCTTCGGAACCCCTTCATCCACTCCTAGCTTCGGCACACCTTCTACTCCGGCATTCGGAACCTCCCTGTTCTCCACTCCGTTTTCTCAACCGGCACAACCTCAGCAGCAGGGTTCGTTGTTTCAGACTCCCTAGAGCTCCAGCGCATTCAGCTTTTCGACGCCGCTTGGGGCCACGCAGCCACAACAGAATCTATCAGCTTCAACGTTCACTCAGACTACATTACCCTTAGCAAATGCTCAATTAACCACTCAAATGGCTCCTGTAGCTCCTTTGTCCTTTTCTCTTGCCGTTCGAGATTTCAGGTGCAAATTTTGAATTTTTAATGAACCCTAATTTTGGCAATTTGGAGCTATGCATTCTCGCATATTCGGATTTGTGTAGCCTGAACATCTCTCTTGCTTCTAAATAGGTAGTTGGCTTAATAAAGAGATATGGCTATTACTTCACAGACAAATTTATGGAATACAACCTCTTTTAATAATTTGTTCTCATTATGTTTTTATTGGGAGACTTGCCTTCTAAACATGAAGAAACTAGAGCTTTGTAATTGATGAATACACAACTTTCTGAACTTGTTTTTATAATTTGTCTGTGAGGGGTGGGGGTGGAGAGGTGACACCCTAAAAAATATAAATACTATCATTGTCCAATGAGCAGTAACTGTATAGCAACATAAAAGGGTGACAGATAAACTTCTTTTCTGTTTCTATTTAAAATTTTTGAAGCTATCCATTCTTAGAGTGTAAATCACAAATTATATCTTTGAGAGAGAACAGATGACTTGCAACCCTTTCTATCTTTGAATTTGCTTTTGTTTTGCATTTATCATTTAGAAGCTCTGTTAGTCATTTAAAACCTTGGTATATTTACATCACTGGCATTTTCCATTTTACTTCTTCATTTTGGTTCATCATGTTTTGAACTTTTTTGTTTAGTTCCAGGGTGGTGAACTTTTCACAACATCTCATAGCTGGATGGAATTTCATTTTTCATCTTCTTCTAGTCTTTGCATGTAGTAGTGTTTTGATCTGGTTTCAGACTGCGGCTTAGTGGCTTTGTTGAGCACGAAGTTGAAGGGGATGGAAACTGTCAGGTTATCTATCTCTTACTCACTTTATCATTCCATTTCGTAGCAGAGCACTTTTCATGTTGTGACTCATATCTGTATTCTGCTAGGCTAAAAGTGAAATGGCATTTTCTAATTTAGTTTAGGGAAAACCTGATCTCATTCTGCCAAACAAGGTGCAGCCATACAAAAATATAAACAATATTAAGAAAACATGCTTTCTTAATAACACATAGCATCATTATGCTGGTTCATGAAGTAACATGTATTGTTTCAAACTTGCCAATATATATGTTGTATTTCGGTGCAGTAGTCGTGCACCAAGTTTGAGATTATGTAGTCACAACATTATTTACTTTTTCAAATAATAACCATTTGTCTTCACTTTTATCGATCTTCCAGTTCTGTGCTTTATCAGATCAGTTTTATCAAACACCAGAATATCACAGAGATATCAAAAAACAAGTTGTTAATCAGGTGATCAACCATTGCGGTAAAGTGCATGCATTTTCTTTAGTTATAGTTTGCTTGAATATTTCAATTATTTTTATGTGTTTTAATTTCTTGAATCCCTATTTGTGTAGCCTGGTGGTGGGACTGGATCGATGAGGTATATTTGATTTTCATTTTATGGTTTCATTATAAACTATAGATTAGATTAAATTATTGCGTTCTCTTTGTCCTAATACTCATGAATTGGTACACATATTTGAAATTTAATTACATTGTGGTGATGATAAAGATTTTGATTTTTGTTATTCAAGATTGCTCACAAAGACATGCATACAGTAAATTGTTGTAGTTTCAAGAATTTTGAGTGTATAACAATATACTATTCTATTCTTAATTCTATACAAATTCAAGAAATTCATTGTAGAATCGTGTGCATTTATTTTTCAATTTTTAGAACAAATAGATGGGAAGATTAAGAGATAGTTTGTAGTTTATTGAAAGAAAGAAAACTATTTTTAGCATGTGTACTAGTTTTCTAATATAGAGAATTGTATTGTGTTGACTGAGTGGGTAGGGGTGACATCATAGAGATGCCCAGTAAGAAAGGGAGGGAAGGTTTGCTATAGAGTATAGAGTGACTTGTGGGAGATGGTAGCTTGGGAGATGTTTTCTTTACCAGTGACCAAAGCATGCTGATATCAACTAGGTCCCATTATGCTACAAACTGGAACAAAATCATTCTCTTCAAGTATGTAATGCAATGTTAGATACACATCTCTAATTTCATAAATTCCTAATTCCATTGATCCCTAAATTCTAATTTCATTTTGCCTTAAATTATTGCATTTATGATTTCTTGATTTATATAAAATTTTCTAGTACTGCAAAGCTTGATATGTGTTCTCTTTGCTTTACTCATGCATTTACAGAGTATGCTTGTAAAGAATGTTTGTAATCTAAAGAAGCATGAAGTTGATTGAATTCTCAAAATTGATATTGTATAACAAGGAGATAGATTGGAGGTAAGGATGATGTGCCACATGTGGCTTTTTGTTCTACAACTTGTAATCATTTTGCTTTTTTGCTGATAGTGTGTTTGGAAATTGCACTTGTTCCTTTAAACATAAATTGCTGGATTATATGAGAAAAACATAGATTGTTTAAGCATATGCTAGTGTGTTTTGGACTGTGCATTTTGCTACAATATGAATCTATGCCAAGTCATCCAAGTAGAAAATATTTTTGAGAAGTCAATAGCTTATTAAGTTATTATACCTGAAAAATAAGTTCACATACTGATATTTACTTTTATTTGTTACTTGGTGTTTTTTCTATTTTGCAGCTAACTATTGTGCTAAAGAAAGAGGTCATGGACCAAAGAAGAGCCAATGCAATGAGTACTGACTGCTATACTGGAGGTTTGGTTGAGATGAAATTTAATTTGTTTAGAAATCACTTTATAAATGCATGAGAAAAATGTTTATCTTACCAATTAATACTTTGCTTTAGTTTATCTTATGTTTACGTCATATGCAGAAACATGATATTTGCAGAAACATATCATTTGCAGAAACATGTGCTTTATGAACTAGATGCTGATATTGGCCACTAGGAGGAATATAACCATGAGTGGCGTGGGAAACTGTAGAGGTATTTTCATTTACATCAAACTGATGCTTATAAATGTATTTCTATCTGATTGCTTGCACTAAGGTTAATTCTCTTCTCAAATATTTTGCAAATTAATTTCAAGTGACTTTTTCTGTTCTCTTATCTTATGGTCAGGTTGGCATGCATATCAGAAAGTGGGACTGATCAAATTTAGTTGGCTAGAGGATGTAAAATAGTTCATGTTGAATCACTAATTCACTGACTTTTATGTTTCAGAATTGTCAACATCAATTAATTTCTTTTTGTATAGGATTTAAAATAAAAAAATTAGTTTCTTTGCCTTTGGTCTTTACAAAGTTGTATGAATCATTTCATTTTTGTAATGATGATGAAGCCTTTTAATATATTGATCGAGTTTACTTTGATTGCATTATGGTAAAAATTAAAATTTTTACCCACACAATATCTATAGTTACAGCATAATATCTATGATAAAAAAAATGTATTATAAAAATTAATATTTATTGAGCAACAACAATATATACAAATTAAAATTAAAAAAAAATTGACAATAAAATATAACAATTAGTGACAGGAAAAATCTATAATGAGAGAAAATTTTGTTAGTAAATAGCAATATTAATGACGGGATTCTCCATCACAACGAATAGATGAGAGGAAATTATGTTAGTCAATAATTGTATTAATGACGGGATTCTTCGTCACAAAAAGAACATTTTAGTGACGGTAAATATACTATCACTATATGTTCACTAATGACAGTATCATATACCGTCATTAATTGTTTTTAACCTCGGAAGATATAACGACGGGTGGCGACGGTAAATTTCCCGTCATTAAAAGTCTTTTATGATTGTTTTTGATTCTTTAGTGAGGGTTTTACCTGTCATTAATGACCAATTTTCTTGTAGTGTTTCTTTTCCATTACAGAATACATTCGCATATGGAAAAAATCTAAAAACAAAATAAGTGTTAATACTGGTTATATCCTTGAATTTTTGTCCGTGTTATTATTGCTGATCTGTTTATACATTGTGTTATTAATATTGTACATGATTTTTTAAAGACAAAAATGCCCCAGAATATTCTGTTACTGTTAAATACCATTTGCAATCACGTTTCCTCAATTCCTCCTTCATCTTCCCTTTATCGCGTAAGAATCTGAGATTTCCTCCTTCATCGCCTAATAATTTGAGACGTTTCTTCCTCCGTCATCGCCTAAGAATATGAGTCTCAATCTACTATCACAATCAAAGGGATAAGTTTCTCCTTCACTTCCTTTTCACCCTAATAGTAAGCATAAATTCCGATGAAGGATTTAAGCAATCAAAGGGAAAAACAAGATATTCGAAGCAGAGATTGGGTAGGATTGAAGCAATTAAAGGGATTCAATGGGTTTGATCGTTGATCGAGGCTATGGTTTTTCTAATTTTATTTATCAAAGGTAAATTTATTGATTAAAGCCTAATTTTTAAGTGGACGTTCTGAATCATTGTTATTGGTTGAAAATTCTATGCATTTGTTTTTTTTGGTAGAGTAGATGCATTTGTTATATACTACTGGTTATGATTATCGGTCGGAGTAGTATATATATGTTTAATAAAAACCAGTTATTTGGAATTCCACTGTGATTGCTTAGAAAGCACATATAAATTTCAGAATTTTTGAATGTTATAAATGGAAGGAATTACTAGGTGTGTAATTTACCTTTATGCTTTATTTGAAAAATCACAATTGTCCAGCTAATGCTTGCCAGATGAAAGTGCAGATTAAGATGACTGATAATATTTACTGGTTGTATTTTGTAATGTTTGCAAACGTGGAGGAAAAAGGAATTCTGTGTGTGGTTAGTTGCAAAACTGTTACATGGGTGTCTAATTGCATGGTCCTGGGAGAGGGGATCATAGTTCTCATTATAGACCATGATCATCACAGATTTTGATCTTAGCATCTTAATGTCTAAAATTGATGCTGGGATTTGATTATATTCTACCGCTGCATGTGTCTTTCTGGTGGTGACTAAGAAACATGAGAAATACAATCATCTTTGCATTCTGTTTAGAAGTGTATAACCAGCCATGAAATCCTACCTGTTTGTTTCTCAACCGATCAACTCTTGTCTTTCTTATGAGTGCAAAGTTTCATTTTTATCTGCATGTCTGATGTATTATAATATATTTATGTTCATGGTTAAGTGATCTATGCTTTTAGAGATAAATCATGAAAGACCAAATGTATGACTTTATTCTTATTAGTTACTCGTCAAAACCCAACTTGTCGAGCAAGGTTGCTTATGGTCTGCTATGCTTTTACATCCATTTTGTAAAGAGTTTCATTATTTTTTCTTGATGTTTTGCTGTTTGGTTGATCGGTACATTTACCTCCCACATTGGCAGGCAATATAATTCTTCTCCATCTGTAATTGTAATTGGTGGAGGTATTTCAGGCTTAGCGGTTGCACGTGTCCTCCAAGATGCATCTTTCAAGGTAGATTGGATTCATTTATCTTATCCTCATTGGCTGGAAACTTACTTTTAGGGACCAATTTCACAACAAAGGCTATATGGTATTGTACTAGGTGATATTGTTGGAATCAAGAGATAGAATTGGTGGACATATTCAAACAGACTACTCGTTTGGTTGCCCTGTTGACATGGAAGTATTATGGTAAGTGTTTCTATTTCAGTTTCAAAAGTTTTATCTAGAATGCACTTTTCTGCATTTTTACATGTAGGTTCAATGAGCGTAGTTATATAACTACTATTTCATTTAGTTTTTACATGTAGGTTCAATCAGCTTGGTTATATAACTAATATTTCATTTAGTTAGAAACAATAAATACTGGATATTTTGTGTTCTGGTGTGCTCCTTTCAGAAGTTTTATCCAGTGCTCCTTTTTATATGCGTCCATAGTTGTTGAGATGTTACCCTGTTTTGTCAAATAGTCCTGGCTATCATGACCACCTTTAAGTGGAACACTTGAGATAAAGGATGATGGAATTTTGTAAGGAATCAATTTGGGAGCTTGCTTATTTTCTTCTACAATGCTGTTGTTATTTTGAGTTTTGTTTTGCTTCTTTTCCTTCACTTTTTTTCCTTTTAGTAAAGTTTATATAACCTTCTCAAGGAAAAAAAAATCTAGAAGTTAGTGAATATTAATCTAGATTTCAGAATATTCATAATTCATACATGTATGTCTATCAAGTATAAAGTATGTCTTCTATTGCCAATGTTTATGCTAGCTTTTGATTAAGTGCTTTCAAATGCCATGTGCAGAAAAGAGTATGAGATACACAATATATTTTCAATAAATATGATTAGTATTGCATGAGTGCTTATATGATAAATGGTTCATTATGTGCAGGAGATTGTACTTTCTGGTGGTCATGGACTAATGGTTCAAGGTTATTACCCTGTAACACAGGCTTTGGCTAAAATTACCCTAATTCAAAGGTCAACATTTCCTTTATTGTTTTTTAGTTCAAACGCGTACATTTTAAGAGGATATTTTCGTAATTTAAACGTGAAGTGTATATGTGTTTTATTTGGCTTCAGCGTGATTTTCTCGTTGATCCCATTTCCCACCTATGTTTGGGGTTTTGTGGCTGTGGTGGAGACCAGTAGATTGAATACATTCTGACGTGCATGTGAAATACTTTTCCTTTTTTTTTTCCCTGTTTCCAATTTAATTGACTGCCAACAATGAGTGTATAGCGCGTTGTCCCTTCGCATCCATAATGTGTTGTCCCTTCGCATCCATAATTTGGTCTCCTCCATTACTCATTACGAACTACGCATTTCTCTTTTCTCATGGACTTAACTTAAATTTACGCAATTCTCCTTTATTCCCCTGTGTGTTCATATATTTGCCCCCATCACTCTGTATACGCACGTGTCACTGTATAAGTGCAGGACATGTTTATTCTTTGCTTTCTTCATTGCCTTTTTTTTTGTTTTTTTTTTTTCACAGTAATACTGTAAATGTCAATATGTGCATACTTGAGTAAATGCATGTGTTTTATTTTGCCCATGATCTAACTTGCACGTACGGCTTCCCATAAAGTAGGAAGTAAATTTAATAGCATTATGGATTTTGCAACATTAACCATCCATGGAGCACACTTTTGTAAAGGCTATTTTACTCTTGGATCTACTTGAAAACATTTTCTCAATTATGTCAAAAATTACTTTAATTACCTTCACATACCATTATTGTCTATTTACATTAAGAAGACCATGCCTAGAAAATATAAAGGGACTGTAATTCAAAGTTTTCTAAGTTTCAATACTCTAGGATTCCATCTATCAATTTTCATAATCTAGAACTAAGAATAGCAAAGTTACTAAAGACAACAGCCTATGGGTGAAATTAGTTCAATGTGAATGTTATAAAATCACACATCTCATTGTTTGATTCAATAAAATATGACATCACTATGAATTGGTGAATCTGTCATGATACGTAGTGTGGACATTGTCCTCCTAAAATATGATATAAAATGATTGAATTGAACATATGTGTTTATGGTAAGTTGAAAAGACAAGGAATTTTGAAAATGAATTGATATTCTTTCATTATATATGTTTTGATGAAATATATTGTGAATTTGTTAATTAATTGGCCAAAAAATATTCATTCCATATACTATAGAAAAAAAAAAAAAGAACAGTGAAATGTGGATACCAATTAATACATTCTTAATTTAAATTTTATTAATGGAAGATACATCATAACTAAATATACAAGCAGAATATAGTTGTAATAGAACGTTCAATACCTTTACTTAAAATTACAAATTTATATATTCATCACAATGAATTTGTATTTCTTGTGTAAATTTCAATTACATCAACAAAATAAACTTTTTGTGAATATTTATGAAACTTCACCAACTCAAAAAAAAAAAAAAATTTACAAATGCATTTTATCTATTTCAAAATAATTTACTAATTGAGTTTAACTATTGGGCACAAGTTTTCGCGCAAAGTGCGTAGAAAAAACTAGTTACACATATAAGCATGGAGTTCAGTACGTTTAGATGGTTAAATTTTTATTTTGTATAAAACTGAATTCTTGTTGTTATAGGATTAAACTCACCCTTTTTATTTTTAATCACTATTTAGATTTTGATGAACAAAAAGTTTAGGATGCACTAACCCTAATGAGCTCTGGTAGTCCTAAAAATTTAATTAATATCAATCAAACAACTCTAAAACCATTGCTGACTAAGCAACATGTTATCGGCTACGAAGGTAGTTTAGTCCTTGTGCGGCTAAATCGAAGTGATTATACCTTGAACTATAATCTCGTTTTGATTGCGGCTACATGGAGTGTTAAATGGAGTGCAAGGTTGTTCCTTAAGGTTGTCTTTCGAGTGCATATATTGATTTGGAAATGATTAGGGATCAAGTGGATTATAATGATCTGAATCACTTGTGTTTCAACTTTCAAGAATGACTTTAGAGTTTAGGCTACCCTGGTTCTTCCTTTTGGTGTCTTGTGGTTTGTTGCCGTGTTACTTATCAGCTATTTTGTGGTTTCAGGTGACATTCATGGTCAGTACAGTGACCTATTGCGACTTTTTGAATATGGAGGGTTTCCTCCTAAGGCTAATTATCTGTTTTTAGGAGACTATGTAGATCGTGGCAAACAAAGTTTGGAAACGATATGCCTCTTGCTTGCCTACAAAATTAAATACCCAGAAAATTTTTTCCTTCTAAGAGGAAACCATGAATGCGCTTCTATTAATAGGATTTATGGATTTTATGATGAATGTAAGCGGCGGTTTAATGTAAGACTTTGGAAAGCCTTTACGGACTGCTTCAACTGTCTTCCTGTTGCGGCACTGGTTGATGATAAGATATTGTGCATGCATGGTGGTCTATCCCCTGACCTATCAAACTTGGATCAAATCAGACAATTACCGCGCCCTACTGTTATCCCTGATACGGGTTTACTTTGTGATTTGCTTTGGTCGGATCCTGGTAAAGATGTTAAGGGGTGGGGGATGAATGATAGAGGAGTTTCATTTACCTTTGGCCCGGATAAAGTGTCAGAGTTTTTGACAAAGCATGTAGAGAGAGAGAGAGAGAGCAGAGAGCAGTGTAGAGCATCCAAGGAAGATTAGAATAAAGAACCCTAGGATAGGGTGTAGGTTTATGGAAAAAAGTGCCCCAATGTTAGAACCGATTGTTGAAGCATAAGTAGGGATGTCAATCGGGCCAGCCCACTCGGTTTCGGGCTAACCCTGTCGGGTTGTCGGGCTAATCGGATCGGGCTAATCGGTTAATTAATATTTTATTCTCGGGTTCGGTTTGGCCCTAACCCTAAACTTCGAGTTGTCGGGCTAATCGGGCGGGTTGAACAATCTGAACTAAAATTAGAAACTGAAAGTGAGTACTCATATTTAGAGTAGGAATAATAACGGGGCGGGGCGAGGCGGGGCGAAACGGGGGTAGCATTTAGTTTTATATATATATATATATATATATATATATATATATATATTTGTACTGTACAGTAGCTTGTAATGCTACTGTATATATATATTAGTAATGCTACTGTACAGTAGCATTACAAATATATATATATATATATATATATATATATATATATATATATATATATTTATTTATTTATTTATTTATTTATTTATTTCTTTTTAATTATAATAATTATTTTATGTGTGTTAGGTTTCATATCACTTCTATAATAAAGAATAATTTTCAGTAGTTCGGGTTGTCGGGCTAGCCCTTTTAATTTCGGGCTAGCCCTATCGGGTATCGGGCTAATCGGTTTCGGGCTCGTCGGGCTAATGTGTTTTATCGGGCTAGCCCGTTCGGGCCATAGCCCTGTCGGTTTCGGTTTTTATCGGGTTGGCCCATCGGATTCGGGCTAAATTGACATCCCTAAGCATAAGTGATAAGAGCACATCTTTTGGTTCATAAGACTTTATCTCATTTCCTTACATTTTATAAAGAAACTTGATTTACTGATTTCTACAATATAGGTATTGCTCACTCTTCTTCTTCATTTTTTTTTTAAACATGATTAAATTATTTTCTTGAGAATCACTTTAATTTTTTGCAGTGTTGTATGTTCCAAACAGAGCTCAAGGTTAATAGTGCATTGCTTGAAAATTCTCATGCAGTCTTTCTTTGCAGCAGACATCAAGAGAGTCTGTTTGCTGAATTGGCAAAAATGGATGTAGCATTTTCTTACCGTTTGTAATTGAAAAGGAAAATTTTGTGTCGGGGAATGGGTTTTATCTCAAATTGAAGTGAATTTCTATTTAATAAATGCCCCGAGATTAATTTTTAATGCTGCTTGATTAATGGTTCCTGTTACCAAAATGAAGATAATGGGTTTTAGCTCAAATTGAAGTGAATTTCAATTTAATAAATGTCCCGAAATTAAGTTTTAAAGCTGCTTGGTTAATGGCTCCTGTTACCAAGTTGAAGAATTATTTAAAGACTTTTACAGGCTGTTGTCACAGAAGAAAAGAACAACACTAATCGCGAAGTTGTGATTGAACTGAATTTCCATCTCTTAGTAATTCCTTCTAAAAATTTACTTATTTGGATACTCTTCCTACAGCTCCTGAAGCAAATCTGCAGATATTTCCTCCAAATAATGGTGGGAATGCTGGTCAGGGAACTCAGGTCCAAGTGGTACTAATCATTTACCATTTTTCACTACGTTATATCAGGAAATCACGAGCTATTTTCTGATTACCAAACTGGTTTAGGTGATAAATATTTTTATTTCAAATATTCTTTTGGGCTGTAAAAATAGTTCAGTTATGTATTTAAGTTTTAGAAGTGATGTACAAATAATCATCAAAATAGCGTTTGGGTTAAAGAAAAAGATTGACTGTAAGGTTAAGTGTTTCGTGTGTGATGTGTCTTAGACCCAACATGTAAATCGATTGAAGAATAAATTAGGCTTATACCAAATGGGATAGCTTAGATTTGAATTTCATAATGTGAAGTATTTCATCATTTTTATGCATCTTACATCCGAGTACCCAACACGTAAGTCAATCTAGAAAATTTTATCTTATACTTATTTTATTCTGTGATAACACTTGTACAAGCATGCCATTTATTTAAGCAGTCACATTTACATTGCCAAAGTTTTGACCAAATTGCAATCCCCCATTTCCATTTATGGCACAAAATTGAGATGCCGTAACCGGAGTACCATTTTCCAATTTAGACCTATGTGTATGAAATTCTAGCTAAGGAGTGTTTAGTATATCTTCATCTACCCAATATTTTAATGTAGATACAGATGTTGTGTTAAACAGATTGATGTGTTCTTTGAATCCTACAAGTGCTGATTTCTTCAGGAAAATTGATGCTAACCCTGATCTGTAAGTCCAACACTATATTACTCATAGTCTTGTGGGTACATTTCCAAAATGCATATATTTGATAAGTTGATTGTTCCTTAGTGCTTTTTCTGGGTTGATGTGGTCCATTGAATTGAATGTGGATCTGCAAGGGTGCTACTAGGAAACTAGACGAAATGAATACAAATATTTGAGTAGCATATATAATCAGAGCCGGATTTTAGGCTGTGCAAGCTAGGCTACCGCACAGGGCCCCAAATTTTAGAGGGGCCCCAAATTTTAGAGGTCCAATATTTAATTTTTATCTAGCTACTTTAGAAATAAAAATTAAAATTTTTCAATTGAATTTAACAAGTTCCATGAAGAGATGGTAAGAATGTGTGGTTATTGTATTTTAATTTTGAGGTCAAAGGTTCGAAACTTGCATGTATTGATTTTAAAAATTGCGATTTTTAGTAGGCCACATTTATTTACCAGAACAGGGCCACCAAAACTTAAAATACGGCCCTGTATATAATCATTTTCCTTGCATTGGGTGTACTGTTAAATAACTCATTACATTGAAATTGAAGAAAGAAATTTATATTGAATTCGATAATACTTTTTGTCCTTTTGCCGTTCTTAAAGTTTTCTGGTGGATATGTGGTCAAATTCATATTTCTGTTTGCTTAGAAATATGTATGTTAATAGTGTCCTTGATTTCCTTTCATACCTCTAGATGCCCTGTTTGATACATAATTTCTTCGAATATATGTATTTTGTTGTACAGATGTATCTTGCTTTCTCAGGTGTGCAATTTTCATGTGAGAAAGAACAAAAAGGAAATAAATAAATAAAAATTTAGAAAATAAAGATACAGATAATCAGATAATGTACTTGGCTAAGAGAAACGAGTCAAACTAGACTTAGAATCTTAGATTATGGCTTGACTAGTTGGCTGATTTGATTTCAGCTGTAATAGAAACAAGCCACACTAACCTTTCCATTGCCCAAAATCCTTTGATGTTATTTTCTTAACTAGTATTTCACCCGTGCGATGCACGGACTAAATATTAAAATCATGTTATAGAAAGCAAATATGAGATTTATTCTTTTATAAATTGTTGTAATTAAATTAAAAATTGATATTTAAACGGGGTAATTACTAAAAAGTGTTAATGTCATATGTGGCCATTCGAGGTCATTTGTGATCGAGTATAATAATTTTACCCTGTTTAGTTCCAAACTTTCAAATTGACGACCCGTGGTCTTTCGACTTTCAAATTGTATTGTTATGTGATGCACGACATAAAATTTAAATAATGTTATTGTTGATGAGACTAAAAATACATAAAAATAATTTAAAATAATAAAATCAAGCAATTATTCTCAAAATTTAATGGAAAAAAATATTTCTTTCAAATAATTTAAATGTACTTACAATATAAATATATTTATGGAAATTGCACATACAAAAATATTAATATTTATAATCAAAATAGATTACAACATACTGAAATTTTTAGTCCATGTGAACTATTAACCCATGTCTTGGCAAGGGCTGCAGGCTGCCCGTTCTTAAACTAATTCTTCTATTCGGCTTTATTCAATTCCCTCTTGTATTGAACGTTTAATTTAATGATGTTTTCGATTTGATTTTCAAAAAACAAAAAAAAAAAAAAGAAACAAAAAAACAAAAAAAAAAAAAAATAAAAACAAAAAAATAAAAATAAAAACAAAAACTAACCATACTTAAATATCGATTTCTTAAAAGAAAAAAGTCAAGCGTCAAAGTTTGTAAATTATTATAAATAAAAAATTTACAAAATTAGATGAAATAATTACATAAATTCAAACTTATATAAATATAAATTTAAAAATAAAAAGAATAATTGCATATTAATGCAAATTTATGTAGTCAAATCCATCTCATTTATTAAATAAAATAATCAACTATATTATTCAGCGCATTTATTTAACTCCCAAAATCAAAGTCATGATTCTTATTGTCGAAATTCAACCAAAAAAAAAACCCCAAATATCTAACCCAAGACACCACTCATTATATATATATATATATATATATATATAATCTGTGATTTCCTAACCCTAATCACAACATGCTACCAGTATATATTATAAAAAATTGTCTTATTCAATACCATACAGAATTTGTAAAATATAAATTCAAATAATTTATATGTACTTACTACTTACAATATAAAATTATTTATGAAAATTTCACATACAAAATATTAATATTTATAATGTAAATAGATTCCAGCATACTAAAATTTGAATTTAAATTTGAAATAACAACTTTTTAGTGTAAACCACACATTATGGTCCGGGTCTTTCTCTATCCGTTTAACGGTCCAGGTCCACCCGGTTCGCTCCGAGAGGCACAGAAGCTGGCCCAAATGATTGAAAATTTCATAAGTTTCTTCTTCCATAAATGGGATGAATTTTAGATTTGTTAGGTGACCTGCGAATCGTGCAGTCCACGTGTTAGCTCGGGAGGCCGTTTTTATATCCGTTAGCAGTAGGGGTTTAAACGAATCGAATCGAGTCAAATACCTCAGTATTCGATTCGAATTCGAATATATATTCGAATATTCATATCCGTATAATATTCGAATATAATCGATTCGACTCGAATATTCGAATTCGAAATGCCTAATTTAATTTTTTACAAAATATTCTAAAAAATTAAGATAAAATGTAATAAAAATTAATATTTAAATAACGTAAAATATTCAAATATATTTGAATTGAATAATTCGTATTGGTATTCGAATCGAAAAAAGTATTCGAATTCGGATTCGTATTCGAAATATTTGAATTCGAATCAACATATTCGAATTCGAATCACGAATCGAATTTTTTAATTTGATTTGTCTACAAAAATAGAGACTTTTGCACACAATATCACTTTAATTGTTATTTCAAATGTTAATCTGTACGAAATTTGGGTTTTACAACTTTTTTGATTCATAAAATTGTTGTGTTTTTGTGAAGGCAAATGTTTTAGATAGTTTAGCACAATAGTAGAAGCCTTAAAAAGCAAGCCAGGTTTAAAAAATTATCACAAAGTACAAAAGTCTATATCATAGAAAGACTTAGTAGCATTACATTTTGTCCAACTTAACAACTAAAGTCTCAAGTCTTTTAGGATCTTCACTCAGTGATCTCCTCCATTAGAGACATTTTCAGCCCGATTTCATCATTTCCTGATGACCATCTCTCACAAGAGCCAACCATCCCAAAATGACCAAAGTCATCTAAGCCAAATAAATTGAATAATATTCATAATAGTATTCAATTTATAGATAAGAAAACAGGATATGTGTGCAAGTATATAAAGCTCATGCTCATGCATCATCTTTACATAGACACATTCGAAATTCAAAATCTGAAATATATAGAAATTTTATAGACATACATTAACCATCATCAATTAAAATATGTTAGTGAGAAAAAAAAAGGACATTTAGAATTGTTACCTCATCCAAAATTTTCTTCTCTTTTGTTAGACTCAAGCTGTGAGGTTAGGTCCTTATGCTGATTATCCAGCAATTCAGGACAATAGGCATCCACCATGCTACGGTCATTTATGATTGTCATTTATGATTTTCATAACAGTAAAGAAATGCCTTGCAAATATCATGTAAGGTATGTAAGTTAAATGCATACTTACACAGAAAATCAAGATACCACCAAATAGAATATATTAATGACCAATTCACTCTCTTTCACTTTCTTGGCCATTCAAAAGAGTTGCTATTGGACTGTCTGGCTCATCGCTTATGAAACCCTAAATTCTAATCCAACCTTTTTAATTCATTGGTATTTTAAATTAAAACCATAGTTTATCAAAGAAAAAATCTGGTGGCTAAATTTTTACCACCAAAAGTAAAGGCGTATTCTATTACAGACATCTTATTGACAGTGAAGAAAACAAATTTTGTACAGAGAGATGTATACTCACCTCTCAAACCATACTTAACACGACATTGTTGTTCATGAAATTTGCTACATATGGTTTTGGTATATGAGCATGTATAAGTATACCCTGTAGATAAGCAATTTACATAGCATTGTATATCAATTTTGGTATACACTGACCATTAAAAAAACAATTTTTTTTTTATACAGAATAATGTAGAAAATGACATGTACCTCTTCATCATGAAAGACAACTTCTCTCTTACCCTTACCTTGACAGCGCTATTACAACACCCATTCTGGAAGAGAACTCTGAGCCACAAAGGAATTTCTGAATTTGCTATTGTTTGTATTCGCTAATTATCTCTGTATTATATAGGCTTTAGTTGGTAGATAGTGTAAGAGTTCTTCACGTACATTAATTCCTAGAGTATTAAATGGTGTTTCGATTCTCCAATCGAGATTCAATTTTTTAAACAGGCCCATAGATTAAATAAACGTGCTGCTGCAATTAATCTAGGGCTGAATTGTTCTTTGGAACAACTTCCAACAACCTGGGGAATCCAAAACGGTGCATCAGTTATTCTTCTATCCATTTATATATTAAAATCAAGATATAAATGCGAAAAAAATATATATATGAAGGTTTTAACAAAATGATCAAAACGGCGTAGTTTTATTTAGGCGGAACTGCAATTTGATTGGCCATGGTTTTAATATATAGAAGGATAAATATTATAAACTTTTATAATATACTATTATATATATATATATATATATATATATATATATATATATATATATATATATTGAAAGTTACTGGCTCTATTACATTGTAATATCTGTTTATATGGAAGTCCAACCCGGATACCATTAGACCACATAGTCCTGGTATATATATATATATATATATATATATATATATATATATATATATATATATAGAAAAAAACAGAATAATAATAAATATCATAATAATGATTACTAATAAATTAGTAATTACGGAGTAGTAATAGTAATAATAAAATGAATTAAAACAAAATATAAAAGAAAAATCGAATTAAGAAAGATCTAGAGACACCAACGACTGAACCCTATTCTCTCGTCTCTCTGTCTGTACTCACCGTCTCACTATCCAAATCTCTACGTCCCTAGGTTCTCTCTATTACAATCGGTAATTATAGAGTTCATGATTTTCTACTACTAATCTGGAAAATGTACTACCGTAAAGCTAATCTATAGTAATCTATAGGGATCAGACGAAGAACGGTAAGTGATTTCCTTTTTTCAATTCGAAATCATCGCTTAAATTCGAATCTATAGTAGAATTGTGTTATAATTAATGGAATTTAAAGGATAATCCTCCATTTGAACACAAAGCTAAGCTGCTTAAACTCTCTCAATGTGTATAAATGCAGAAATGAGTGCTTGATCTCCATCTTTTGTTCTTTAGGTTATAACTAAATTACTCGGCATTCTTTTGATATTTTTTTTTGATTCTCTTTTGTTTTTTTTTTTTTTTTTTTTTTATGTATGTCCAAAGTTGCAATGTTTCTGCCGTGCACAGTTTTTGAATCTTCTTACACATTGGTCTTAATTTTATTGTGGTGCTTGGTTCTTTCTTCAAAGTTGCAATTGAAAATAGCATTGTTGGAAGTGCCCTGTTTCTGCCATATCTTTTTCAATCTTCTTACACTATTGTCTTCATTTTTGTGTAAAACTTGGTTTCCTTACAACATCTATAAATCATATTAGTAACCACTATTGAGATTACAATTGAACAACTTTAAACTTTTCCACAAAGTCATGTCACTGTATCTTAAAGTGTCTATAAATACAATTGTGATTGATTCCTTTATCTTAAGTTTTCCTACATTTTTCCATTACAGGGGATCCATGATTAGTATGCTGATATTTGAACTTGGAGCCAACAATTTCACCAGGTAGGCTGCATTGGTTCATTCAAATTTCCCGCAAGTGTTACCTAAATATTAGCTTAGCAAAGAAAGCACTTTGGGCATTCTACTTTGCTTATATAACTGATGCAATTATTCTTTGAAAATGTGAGTAGACTGCTGATAGATAGAAAATAATTTATCAAATCTACTTCTTCCAAGTCCTTAATGTTATAAAGAACAGTATAAAAGAAAAACATAACAAAACCTTCATAGAGATACATTCAACATCACCTGCCAGAACATTGTTGCACTAAAAAGTCTACCCAACATCAGAAACACAGAAAAAAGTAAAATGATTCTATGCTTCATCAATGATCCTTGAAAACTGATCTTGCTCATCATTTGGTTGAGGCACAGTAGGTGGAAACCAATTCATCATCATTAGCTATCTTCAAGACTGTAAATGGTAGATTGGTTTCTTAAATGTTCCATTTTTACCTAACTTTGAACAACATAGTCTTATGAGAAGGGATTCCAATTCTATTGGAATCTCAAATTCAGAATCCTAGAAAAAAAGTTAATTAGATTTTAGATTGGGTGTTGCTATTTGCACCCACCTTTGACTAAAATGAGGTATAAAGTGCATTGAAAATGTAAAAAGGTGGTAAATGATAATAAATATATGGGTGGTGCAAATAACATAATGGGTGGTCAAAATGCTATTTGCACCACCCTATTAAAACTACATTTATGAAGTCAAAATTTCATTATTAAAAAAAAAAAAAAAAAAAAACACGAAGCAGCCATCGCCTTCTCCGGTGAGAAGGCGACGGACTGCCTTCTCACCGGAGAAGGCAACTGGGCTGCCTTCTCCGGTGAGAAGGCAGCCCACTGTGTGGGTCGCCTTCTCGCCGGAGAAGGCAACCCACACAGTGGGCTGCCTTCTCGCCGGAGAAGGCAGCCCAGTCGCCTTCTCCGGTGAGAAGGCAGTCTTTCTCACCGGAGAAGTTTTTTTTTTCTTTTAGTAATTTGATTATTAAATAAAAATAAATAATAAAATTAATGATTGACCATATTTAATGAGGTGGTGCAAATAGCACTTTTGTATTTGCACCACCTATAAAGTTACTATACCTATTAAATAGGTGGGTGCAAATAGTAAATAGGGTGGTGCAAATAGAACTCCCCTTTAGATTAATCACTGATAAGAGGCATATAAGAACTGAATAGAAGAAGACATAAATCAGGTAATATTTACATCTCAATATTCAATTAGATTAGTATACTTTTGTTGTCACTTGTATGAAATGTGTAGATACAGATTTCAGAAAACATTTTAATTCTGTTTGAAAATAAATCCTTTTTTCTTAAAAAAGGGCTTTATGACCATTTTTTAAATGAAGTTTTTTTTCTTCAAAATATGAAGTCTTGTATTGAAGTATTTGATACTTTAATATTTATAAAGTATGCAGATACATATATAAACTAATGGAACATTTTATAAGTCAACTTGTTTTAGTCATACAGATTTTAATGGACCATTTGTACAAACTGAAAATTTATTAACTTTTAAAAACATAAAAAAATTGATATTAAAAGCAAAGAATGTATTCTATTGTAAATACATTCTCACGCAGTCTTACAAATCATATATATATATATATATATATATATATATATATATATATATATATATATATATATATATATATATAACTTTTTGTTCTTGTTGTATTTGGCTGTGTTATGAAACAGAATTCCATAGGAAACTAAAATGAATACCTTGCATATATGATCTTGCCTTCCTCTTGCACCCTGTTACTGTGGTTCCTTTGAAATGTGATTTCTGAATTCCCTTACAAATCTGAAATGTAAAGGCTCAGTTTGCAAGAACAAAGAAATTAAGATTAAATAGATAAAGAATCAATATATACCAGTTTCCATAAATACCTTGGTTCAAAAAGGAATTGGGAGAAAAAAGTCCATTATGTTGTGGCCTCTTTCCATTATTCTTCTCCTTTGTTTAACCATCTGTTGTCTTCTTCTTTTATTTGCAGGCGTGACTGTTAGTGCCTCATCTTCCTCAACATTCAACTGTCTTCCGCCTCCTGAACCGGTACCGCCATGAAAAATACACGAATGGTTCTCCTGCAACTTTGAGCCATTTTTTCCGATGATAAACTCGGAGTGCTGGTTATCTTGCAAATTGTGAGGTCTTATTTATAGTGTTTGAGTAGGATTATAAATCATCTCAGATTTAATTTGAAAACATTCGGATATCCATATCTCGAAAACCAAAGAGACTATCCACAAATGCAGGCGTGCAGCCATCCAGAGACCTATTCACATTTCGAAAACCAAAGAGACTATCCATAAATGCAACCGTCCAAAATCGATTAATCAATTTCAAAAAGCAGCCTTCCCAGATTCCTCCTTCCAAGTACTAAGAATTAATAAAAAATATTTAATCAGGAAAAAGGTTAGGGCCAAAACGATGTAGTATTTACTGAGCGGGAAAATGCAACAATTTCATTGGCCATGGCTATATGGCTTTAATATATAGATAGAAGGATGTTCATATGACTGTTGGATTGGCCTTTACATCCTCTGGCCTTTATATTGTGTTTGATGTGAGCTTTAAAAGAAAATAGTTAGTTCTACCTGGTTTAGTCTCAATGACTGAATAAATATTCAATTCTTACAAGAAAGTTGCATCTCTTTCTTCTTTGTATCTTTGTCACTCTGTAGTTGTGTGCAATAGGAAAAGGGAAACTCCTGAGATTTTCTGAAAAGAACAAACTTCCATGGAACTATGGAAGTAGTGGTTGGTTGCTGGCATGAAAAGCCATAGAAGAAAATGGCAACCTAAGCTCTTCTCTGCTGCTAGAGTATTGTGGGAAGAGGTAAATCGTGGGATGTGCCTTAATGAGGTAGGGTTTGGGTGGGTCTTGGTCTGAGTGTTTTGTTTATTTCTCAAAAGTTTATTTTTCCACTGGTAAGGATTCAACTTGAATGTTCATTGAACACTATACCCATACTCAACTTTTCGATCAATAAGCTTCTTTCACTTCAGAAAACATTCACGAGCATATTTTTTTTAAGCGAGTTCTTTTGAAGGTGGCAGCACTTCAAGTAGCATTCACGAAGACACATGTCATACCATCGTATGAATTGGGACTTGCACCAACCCACCCAAGCTAGCTTGATGTTATGGATAACCCAAGCTAGCTTGATGTTATGGATAATATGGATAAAGCTAGAGCGAATTGTACTTTTGGTTTCTGAATTTTTTTTTTTTTTTTTTTTTTTGGATGTACTCGAAATTTGTTATCTAAAGTCAAGGATCGGACCCTTGACATTTAGTTAAGGATAAATGAGTCATTTTCACTTAAACATATCCCAAACTAATTGGTCCATGAGTTATAAGCTAATAATAGAACATTAGATATAGTCTATGTATTTTAGGTGTCACCAGTTTTGGTCCATAAGTTTTTAGTAATTAAAGTGGATGTCACTTTTAGTTTTTTGAATTGGTTAACCGTGGTTTAGTTGAAATTTACCAATATTCTTCAAAAATCATTAATTAATTAGAGCTAGTAATAAAATTTTATCCCATAATAAAATTTCTGCTATAGTTATGTTTAGGTTTGTAGTATCATCTTATTAGGTAATTAACCTGCTACAATACCTACGTATTATCGTTTACTTTTTGTATTATAATTCTTTGTGAATAGCAACGCACTGAAATTTTCTGTTATTGGAAAAATCAACGATTTGGTCCTTCAGTTATTAGCGAAATGTTAATGCATGTAATCCCTCAATCGTTTATTCATCGATTTGGTCCCTGAAAATAATTATTTTTAGTCGATTTAATTCCTCCGGCCGTAATCCAGCAACAACCCGGGGAGAGCTTCGATTTACCATGGGCAATTTGGTGTTTTCACGCCATCTTCTTCATCCTCTCTGACCAAGCTTCGCCGGGAAAATGGAGCCAAGTCTATCTATCACTAGATCTGCCACTGAGCCCGTCAGATCTGCTGGGTACGGTGGTTCGTCGTGTGCTGGTTCGCTGGAGAAGTTCAAGCTCGCCGGAGGGAGCTCCATCTCATTTGCTCATCGCCGGAAGAAAAGAGCCGACCTGAGCCATCGCAGGAATCGTACACGTAACAACTTTGGCAAAACTTCTATACAAACTGGGAATCCCACCCGTTCTTAAGATTCCCCTGAACACTGAAAATGCATTCTTTTTTGCAGCATAATGGTCAGCTGTAACTGTAACACCCCGAAATTTTGAAACTTTTAAAACTTATATAGAAAGGTGAATTCTCATTAAATCCCAAAAATCAACATAAGAGTGCGGGGTGTTATGCCACATCTGAGCTGGAAAACTCAGATGCACAAGCTATACTAACTAACTATCCTCAAAGCAATATCAGTACATAATCAGGGCACGCAGGCCGAAAGGGAAACTAACTAATCTACGCTCCGGATCTCTAGAGCGCTCGGGTGTCTACTCGTCTGTGCCTGAAAGCCAAATATATCTGTTCAGCGAATGATGCTGGTAACCCACTCCAACGCGTTGAAATACGATATAGGTAGATATATATATATAGATATATGAAAACCATTTTGAAGCAGGAAGATATATACTTAGGAGACTCTAGCTTTAAAACCAGGAATAGACTCAGCAATTAGAGGCAAGCACAATAATCAAAGATAACAGTTAAGTAGAGACAACCATCATAAAGAATATGCATCTAAGGTCACAAATCTCTTTCAAATCAATCGTATCATCATCCAATCATCATTTGTGTCACACAATCACACTTTGGTGGCACCACGGGACCAATCGCATGCCCAAAACATGAGGGTTAGTGCATATAGCACTAACACGGCCCCGCAGCACCCTACCTCATACCGCAGCATGAAGGGAGTTGATCGCAACCAACCCTATAGACCGCTGACGAACTCAGCGGCGGATCACAGTCCTACACATCGCTGACGCGCTCAGTCGGTGGACTGTGATCCTCTTTACAATGGGGGACTACGATCCTACACACCGTTGACAGGCACAGTCGGTGGATCGTAGCGGATCAGACCCTACACATCGCTGAGGGACTCAGTCAGTGGGCGATGATCCTCGGAGACTACGACCCTACACACCGCTGGCCCATCACTCGGTGGATCGCAGCCAGCCGTAGCCCTACACACCGCCTGGTTGCTCAAATCGGTGGACTACAGCCTTCCTCGGGCTTATTGGTCCTACACCCGCCTGGCGCGTCCGTCGGTGGGTCATAGCACACGAGGTCCATGTGGATCGCAGCCCAAGAAGTGAATCACTGACCGCAGCCAGGAGGATGAACCGCAGCTCATAAGTAACCAAACAATGGACCACAGCCCTATATAATATTTATATACTTGACCGATCGCAATCGGCCTGGTTAACAGTTGGGATGGTTCTCAACCCATCCAACTGCCCGTATAGCCAATTTGATCGCAACCAAATTGGGGAATCATGCATCACATAACACATAATAGCACATAATAGCACGTTGGGAAGGGGGAGACACATAAATAAGCTTACGTGTGATCATTCACATACTAAGAATAGTCCTAAGGGGTTCATACTGTAACACCCCGTGTTACGGCCCCTAAAACCGATTAATTAATTAATCAATAACCCAAGAGAAAGAATAAATTATAATGATTAATTAGGGAAAAAGGCCCACCATAGTCCGTGAGCCCTCATCTCTAAACCCAACCCCTAATCCCAATAGGATTAGACCCTAAATAAGATCCCTAGATCTATAAATAGAGAACTTAGGGGGCACCTAGAATTCCCACCACAATAATCTCTCATCACCCAAAGAGTTCCAAGAATCCCCTTAGGAGAAATCAAGAAATCAAGAAAGCTTAAAGAAAGATCCTTCATAGCCAAGGAATTAATTAAGGCTAAGAGGTAACCCATGTCTCAACAAAACCTATTTTCATAGTTATGATTCCCCCTTAGGGTTTCCCCATATTATTGTGTATTAATGATTGGTGATGATTATTATTGATGATTGATGTGATGATCCCATGGGGGATCTTGATAATCTTGATATTGGGAGATTCTTGATAATTATGGAGTTCTTGATGATTATATGGAGTTCTTGATGATTATGTGTTGTTCTTGATAATTGTGTGATGCCCTTGATGCTTATGTGTTATTCTTACCGAATCTTGCAATTAGAAGGCGAATCGTATTCTTGTTGATATAAAAGTGATTAGAACCCTAGGTTGTATCGTATGATATTATTCTTGGATTATCGGGTGGGGAAATCGCATGTTCGGGTGTTGATTATGTTTAGAAAAGCATGATAGGTTATGTGCCCTTCGTTTCTCGTATTTGATCCGTTAATTGTCTACGTATCGTGGTTAATTGCGTTGTAAAGTGTCTAAGCATGGTTTCGGGTTCCACAACGGTTCCCGGGGCGTAATTGATGAAAAAGAGTCAGTGGGGGGTAGAGGACCCGCCACCTACCCACGGCCGAGAAACACTATTCCGGCAGCGGGCAGCCGGCGGGCGGGCAGCTGCCCGCCGGCGACCCGCTGCCCGGAACAGTAAAGTCCGGCGGGCAGCCGGCGGGTGGCCCCCCACCCACCGGCTACCCGCTGGAAAATCATCCCCTTTGGGACCCCGGCTTTCCCGTTTGATGTTCCCCCGACCCCCGTGGTGTCCCAACGGACTCCGTTTATCGTGCCTATGTCTAGTTTGATATTTCGGGTACCGATCGTAGGTTCATGAGTCTATTATATTGCATGCTAGTTGAATTGGTATCCCGTTGACCTAGGTGGAAGGAGTATGAACCCCTTAGGACTATTCTTAGTATGTGAAGGATCACGCATGCATAGGTTTTGCTATACGCTTTCTCCCCCTTCCCAATGTGTAATGTGGGTTGCATGTGCTTGCTATGTGTTATGTGTGTGTGTTACCCCAATTCGGTTGCGATCGGATTGGTTATCCTGAGCTGCGGTTCAGAAGCTGGCTGCGGTCAGATTGATACTCTTGGGCTGCGGTCCACCGTTTGGTTGCGATCAAACGTTACTATATGAGCTGCGGTTCATCCTTTCCTGGCTGCGGTCAGATGACATTCTCTTGGGCTGCGGTCCACTGTTTGGTTGCGATCAAACACTATGATGAGTTGCGGTTCATCGGTCGGTTGCGATCGACCCCTCCGTGTTGCGATACGGGGCAGGGTGCTGCGGGGCCGTGTCAGAGCTATATGCGCTGACCCTCATGTATGGCCATGCGATTGGTCCTGTGGCGCCAACAAAGTGTGCTATGTGT